TATCTATACACACATTACCTTACCGCGTCACGTTTTCCCCTCTTATATATACCAGCCTACCCTACTAGTAAATACTAGAGCATTCGCCAAAGTACATGATAATTCTAGAAACGTTGCGTCACTGTAGTCATGTGACTCGCTGACGCAACAATATTTATTATATTAGCTTTCACATTTCATTTCCATAATCTCTAGAACATCCTAAATGAATATCAAAAGATTTTAAGGTAAATGTTTATATTTTATTTTCCATTTTCTCTACCGTGTTGCAAATTCTACCTATTATCTTCAATGTGGACTGCAATGAAATGTTTAAAATTAAGAAATGGAAATCTGTATATATCTTTTAGCTCTTCTTAGAAATCTTTTGAAACTTTTTTTATACATATTTACATAATTTCACATCTTTATCTTTTCACCCATAGTTTATTTTCCATTTTTCTTTCCAGCTATTTGTCTTTTATTATATGGTGACTCCTGTACAGACTTGTTTCACTTACACATGTGAATGCTGCAATTTTGTTTATACACTTTCACAATTGAGGTGATAAGAAGTTAAATTTATAAATATCATTAAACCTTTTGAAATACGATTTTGAAAATGCAAATAATACTTTTATAGTTTAGTTAATTATGTAAGACCTAAATACAATATAACTGTCTCTCTAACTATAGCATGCTTAGGTAAGAAACCACTTAAGTGTTATTGTCAATCAAGCAGACAACAATAGTAATGGCAATTACATGTATGCTATGAGGAAAACTGTTCACCAATTGCAAATTAATCATTGGTGGAGTATAGTGTAAACTGAACTTTTTAAATATTTATGTACACTTGTGTCAACTAACTACATGTACCTTGTAGATCTCAAGGCACCCTCTGAGTGTTGGAGAATTTATATCTCTTTCCCAGAGAAAGCAACTATAGACTTTGCATCTTACGTGTCAAATAGGTCAAACACATGTACTTAGCATCTAGATACTTATGTACATTGCCAGCTTATGTGGCTAAGAGTGAACTGCTGCTAAAGTGTGTGGATCACGTGACATGAAAACTGCAGTTTAACTTTTTTTAAATGTTTCCTTTGAAACAAAGGAAATATAACTTGGATAACATAAAAATACAAATTACATCATACATTATAATGCTAATTTTATTGACATATATCAATAGTAAGTTGGTTTAATTAAATTTTGAATGTAATGCAGTACCACATCAGAAAGGAATTTAAAGATGTGCCAGGGCCATAGGCTTAAGGTGCTTGACTTCTAATCTGTGGGTTTCAAGGTTGAAACTCACACCAAATATGATTGTCTCATTTGGGCATTATAATGTGATTTTCAATCCTACTATTCATTGGTAAATAGTAGCCCAAAAGTTTGTGGTGGATGATATTGTCTAGCTGCCTTTCATCAAGTCTATCCCTTCAAAAATTAGGGACAACAAACACAGATAACCCTCATGTAGCTTTGTGCAAAATTTGATCAACAAACTTACTTAAAAAAAATAACCAGTGGGACTTGTTTTTGTTTTTTCTTTCATAAATATATAAAGTGACTATGTTATATACTTAGTTATGCTACATGCTCTATAGCAGACCTTCATACTTCTTATAATTGTTATACAAATAATTGTTTTTATTTTTTAATTTGTTTTACTTCCCATTCTAGGTTCAGTATTCCTATGCTGTCATCCAGCTCCTAATGAGTCATCTGGATGAAAAGTCTCGGGTGGGTGATGTAGAACAAGGAAAACCTGGATCTCGCTTCTGTGCAGATGCTAAAGTACGTCGAGGTATTGTCATTGTCCTGTCACATATTGTTACTATAGCTGCAGGAGAAAGTATTGGTGAGTCCCACTGTTTAATCTCCTTCATTCTGTAAATGTTTTATCTTTTTCATGTGGCATTCATAGTAATATAAATGAATGGTAAATGATTGTTTTGTGGAATAAAACATAGAATGGTAATATAGAATTCACCAAATTTTTTGAAAGAAAAAAAAAGGGGGAGATCTTATCAGAAGGGGAACTGCCTGTTTATTTTCAACCTTGTATAATGCCATAGCAACATTAACATACTTCAATAACTTTTGAACAATATTAAATCTGTATTATGACAGCGGAAGTCACGTGACGCTGGTAACATGTAATGAGTTCTAGAAAGATCGGGGAACATCACGATTAATCCAGTATTTGCTAGGCGCCCTCTATTCTTGTATATAAGTGTGCCAGACAATGAATTGGATTGAATAGCAGACAGAGAGATTGAAGATATAGACAGACAATTGAGTCAAGCGTGGTAGTAAGTAAAGTGCATGAATCGTTCGTTGAGAATTATAGCGTGTGTTTAAGTGAATGTGGAAATTAAGTGTATTGCAAAGTTGTATTGAGAAAGATTAAACTAGTTTTATTTAAGAAAGGACTTGTATCGCTGAAGTTTCTCAGGAAGAATTTCTACCAGAAATTATCAAACGAGCAGAGATGTAACTGCTGTATAAATTTATGTATATTTTTAGACAAAAGCTAATTTTTGAAGTTCTGTTTTTCTTTTTTGTGTGTATAATAAAAAATCTGCAGTAACAAACAAAAACAATAGAGTATATATACATTAACATGACCTTGTAATCATCATGATAGTATACATTCTGCGACTCTGAAAGTACTTAATGCATTTTTACATAATTTTGTAAGTTTTTAGTAAACATTAAATGTCTTTTGTAGACAAGAATAAAAAAAATATTAATTAAGTATTTTTAGATAATTATGTGGTGTCAGACTTGCTCTGAATGCAAAGTGTTTTTCTTCATCTGAAAATTTAAAAATTTCATTTATGTAATCTCTAAGACCCCTTAAATAAATATAATTTTTCTTTTTAAAACTTTAAATCTTATCTGTTATTTTCTATTCTATAACTATACAGGGTCAGCCAATTTGATTGACTTCATAACCACCATAGAAAATAAAACAATAATTCTAAATTGCCTTTTTGTTTTCTGGAATGACTAAATTGTAACAGGAAACTATGATTGTTTATCCTTAATAGTTTAAAGGTTGTAACAGCATACATCTACTTATACTTAATTTTATTGTTTTGTTGCCTTTTGAACTACGTCTAGCTAATAATCCTGTCACACAAGTTGCAATTTGCTCGGCAAATGTATTGTTCATGTTACTCTACCTAATTATCAAAAGCATGAGCTACTTGCAAGCATACCCTGTGAAGAATTATTATTATTATTCGTTACCATACCTAATCTAATATTATGTAACTTAACAAGTTTGTAGTTTTTACATTTTATTTACTGTATAACAATAAATAAAAAATATACATGAGAAACACGAAACACAGTATTTACATTCAGTGTTTTATTTTGTTTTACTGTTGATTGCTCATGAAATTTAAACACACTTTTTGTAATGATGACAGTATTAAATTAAATCATTTTTATCCATTTAAAGAATGCACCCAATAACACAGAATTATAACATGCACAAAGCAAACAATGTGCTATAACTATTACCATTTAACTGGCTTTCTAAGTCATAAATGCCAAAACATACCCTTAGTTAAGTGATCTGAATACCATGAAAGATACTTTCAAACTGAAGATGAAATCGACAATATACTGAAAACCATAAAACATTATAAGTTATTTGATTGATTAAAACTTTGTCCTTGTATTGGTTATAAATGATATGATAGAAAATGTCAGAAAGAATTGTTGCGTCAGCGAGTCACATGACTACTGTGACGCCACGTTTCTAGAACTATCTTGTACCTTGGCGAATGCTCTAGTATTTACTAGATATAGGGTAGCCTGGTATATAAATAAGGGTGACAACGTGACGAAAGAATGTAAAGTGTGTGCAGATAGTGAGTAATTGAACTGCAGTCAGATATATTATTGACGTTCGTTGATATAGCGTTTGTTTTAGCGCGATT